AAAAAAATGTCTATACACTGGCATTTCAGCCAAAGTAGCCTTATGCTTCCTCCAGCAAGTCAAGTTGCAGTATTAATTTATGTCCATCCAGGGTTATAATAACCAAAATTCAGTAAACATTTTTTTAAGGAATTCTAGTTAAGGGTAATAAATGTAACAGCACACAAATTCTATAGTCGGTGTTCTGGAAGTGCAGCCTGTTGGTCAATAGTCACTCTTTCATGTCAGTAACTGAAATTCAGGCGCTTTATTTCCATATTGTATTATTTCAAATCCTGGTTCTTACTTTTATGGCCTTAGGAGTTGGTGGTCCCCAACTATATCTTAGAACAGGGGTGGGCAACTCCAGGCCTCGAGGGTCGGTGTCCTGCAGGTTTTAGATGTGTCCTTGAACCAACACAGCTGGCTAAATGATCTCCTCAACATGTCCTGAAGTTCTCCAGAGGCCTGGTAACAAACTAATCGTGTGATTCAGGTGTGTTGACCCAGGGTAATATCTAAAACCTGCGGGACACCAGCCCTCGAGGCCTGGAGTTGCCCATCCCTGTCTTAGAACTAATTTACTCCCAAGCTGGATCCTTAGGTGGTCAATAGCCACTCTTTCATGCCACAATGTAACAATGCACCATGATACACTTACTAAAAGTGTACAGTTAATGTCACACTATGATATAGAAGTGAAAACAGGTCAAGGGAGCACTTCTCTTTTAACTCTTGTGTTCAAAACAATTAGACTACATCTTCCTATTTAATTAAATTGCCAAATAAATTTTACATATTAAAGGTTGTTTGGACTATGAGTAAAATCAGTCATTTCTTTTACTGTAATTATTTATAGTGGAGTGTGTTATAGACGCACAACTCTATTACTCTATTACTCTAATACTCTTTCTCTAAGACTTACTCTGCTTCCTGTTGCACTCATCACTTCCTTTGAGCTCTTTGTCTTGGGTGTATGTTTGCTCGTGGTGTCCCCAGCTTCAGAAAATACACAGCATTAGATGTGGTTATGCTGGTTTTTCATGCACATCTGAGTTTAAGGGTCTCTGTGTGTATATGAATGTAACAATACCTTTGAGACATCTGTACTTATAAACAATTACTAGAACACACATTA